AATAAGGGGGAGATAATGATTACTAAAGAAGGAATTAACAAAACAATGGGCATCGTTGCTAGATTCATGTTTAAGTATATCGATGTTAAAGTCCCCAAGAATATACGCATATTTATTTTCACAAGACAGTTTTGCCATAACACTATCAAACTGATCAATAAATTTAGTAGAGTCAAGGGATGGAGCTCGATAAAGGGTGCCAACAATAATATTTTTGTGATTTGGTTGAATGATTTCGATAAAAATGGACTCAAAAATATCAGGATTAAGGTTGAGATCTGGGAAGTTGGACTAGTGGATTATCGTCTTTGAGCCAAGTCTCACTAATTGATATTATGTCAAAAGGAAAATTAAGGGACGTCAAAAGCTGTTTAATTTGGTCAATGTTTTTTAGAAGACTTCTAGAATTAAAATGTATTGTGGAAAAACTGTTTCTTTTGGTATTATTGACTAAAGACGAGAACTGGCTCGGATAATAATATTCGGAAGTACTAAGTTGGTTATTAAAAAATTGAGAATCGGGGTCAAACTCGGATGTAAATTGATCATGAGACTCTTCAGAGGGGGAAAAATATATATATTGTTAGGTCATGCCTAATACATGTATTTTACTATAACATAATGTTGAATACTGTTATGTTATTTTTACTATATACTTTGTACTAGTTTATTCTGTATTATCCATATTGTAGAGTGCATGTAGAAAGTTCGTCCTAAAGTGCCCCTCATAAATGTTGTTGTCCGAATCACCTGATGGGTAATATTGCAAATAAGGTTAAGGGACTGTTGAATCCGAGTTGTGTGATGATGTCATCTACAACATCATCCTTAAGGAGATGATGTCATTCCCAAATTCATCTTAAAGTTAGTAAATTCATCTTAAAGTTATGTGGTGATGTCATAATAATCTGCCCCACATATCCTGTTCATAAATGTATGAAATGGGGTACAATCCTATCATTTAGTTAGTCCAAAAGTTCTAAAGTTACCATTACAAGTCTGCTATCTGCCGTAGTTCATTATTTATTTATTTTTTATTTTTATTTATTTTTATTTAAAATATCTTTAGGCAGGATAACATATACAGGCGAGATCTTACCACTGTTTTACAATATGGTCCTGCAAACACATATTACAATAACAACAACAAAAGTAACCATCACAGTACAACAAAATAAACAACAGTTAAAACTTTGGTCAGTTAAAACTTTGGTAGAAAACTATCCCCGCCGGACACCAACCCGGTACTTCTGAGTCAAGGTTTCGGGGCCAGGAATTACAGCTCAAGGTTATGCTTAACTACAACTTAACTACAATATGGTAAAACGTATCCCATTAAGTTTATCTATAGACCTTGCCGGTCTCGGACACCAGTCTTTAATCCAACTTACTTAGCCGTGGGTTCAGCTAATTCTGTAAGTTTTCGAGTATCTTGAAGTATTTAATTGTGTTTTACCACCATCATTTTTGTTCTCTTTTATAATAATGTATCTACTTGTATGATTTTATTAATAAATGTACATATTGTATAATACTAAGCTTTTGTGTTTCCTATTCTCTGTTTGTGCTCTGCATGTAACAGTCATTTAAAGTGCTAACATTCCAGAGCTAAATATCTCCAAAAATGGATCTAAATGAAACTTTTCTTAATATTTTGTCATGGTCCAATGAAGAAAAAAAATATTTCAACATCACTTCTCATTATGGCAATGAGAAAAAGCCCATACGTTCTGTTCTACAAACAGACATAGTATGTCTTGTTGTAACTGGTT